ATCGCGTGTCGTTGTCGTGTGTGTACCTCGGGCTGTGGTGGGGTGATGGTGAAGTGGAGCTCTGTGACTTTGTCGCCCATGACGCCTGAGTAGGCGAGACCTGTGTGCGAAGTCAACTATCCAACCAGGGCACAAGCACACGCGACACCGCACACACAGCACACAGATGCCAGTACCAACCTGGGGAGTTGTGTCGGCGGCGGAACAGCCAGATGGATTCGAGGTCGAACAGGGCGCTGACAGTGACTCGAGCACACAACAGCCCACCGTCGTTGCTGCTCGTGTCGGCTTCGGCTTTGGCCGTCGCTGCGGCCTCTTCCCAGTGGCTCATGGGTGCCGGCGAGATCGCTGCGAGGCCGAGTTCTTGCCAGGCGGTCGTCGGCGGTGGCTCGCCGAACGGCCGGACGTAGAAGAGGGCGATAAGTTGGCGGTTAAGGGCTGGGTCGCCTGTGTCAGGCTGGGGGAGCTCAAGGGTGAGCACCTCACGCCAACAGCGGGCCGTCAGCTCGCTGGACGGCCTGTGACGCCACCAACCAAGGCACGTGTGCGGTCGCGTGCCAAAAGTCTTACACCGCACACAACACACGACACGAGACACGACGCACACAACGTAACACAACACATAGAAAACAGAATGAGAGGGATGTTGAATGTGTGGCAAGGAAGGAGGGGATTGTGCTCACCGCATGGCGATAGAGGCCAACTACTACTTCAGCAATGCCATCCCAAGAGGGCCGTTCATGCTCAGCCCTGATGCACCCCTGGAGCTCCAGGTAGTACTTCTGATGCCTGGTGGCACAGCACATGTGTAATGTTGGGTTGAGTGGTATGGAAAAAATGCACAGGGTAGGCAGTGCTACCTGAGCTGCTCTGGCTTCTGCAACTTTGCTTCTAGTATTCTGGCTCTTGCTGCCCTGCTCTCAGCCATTGCCTGCTGCTGGTTCGTTCTCCTGGTAATGTGAGTGTGGTGTGGGTTGGGTCAACAGTTTAAATGCATGCTAACAACCCAGAGTAAATAGCACCTAGGAGCATCCTTCACATGATAGCTCAAGTTGTGGTGCAAGAAGGGGTGCTGAGAGACAAAGAAAATGTTGCTCAATTAGTCCAAGCAGCCTTAGTGTGTTTGGAGGTGCAAGGTGCACATACAACATGAGTGGTGGTGCGCCAGTAGGCCTGGACAAAAGCCTCCTCATCAAGAGCTTCATCAAACTCATTGTGGAAAAGCATGCTAAGTCCCATTGATTTGGTGACAAAACCATACTTTGTCTGTACTGGCTTCCCACCATCCTCCTGCATTGCCAAGCATAAAATGTGTGGTGGGCAACTAAGCTATACTATACTGATGGCCCTTGCGCCCAAGCTGTGACCATGAAACATCACTAACCCACAACTTCAGCTCCCTGGTGGCGGCTTCCTGCCTTTTCCAGCACTGCCTGTGTGAAGTGGTGCTCCAATTTCAGCAAGCGCCACACCAAAGCTCTGTCAGGAAAAATGCTGGAACAAGTTCACCAAACCCAAGCACAACATTGCTTCTTTTGTTGGGCGCCAAAATAAAAGAAAGCCAAAGAGACAAACAAAATCACACGACTTCCATGGAGCTGAACCCGTTCACCTTGGTGCCCCACGCCCAGGAGAAGTTCAACTACCTGGGGGCGTTCGACATCCAGCGGTGGTACGACGCGGTGGCCGGCGAGAAGGAGCTCAGCGGCGGCGGCTGCACCATGCGCAGCCGGTTTGTGCCGCTGACGGTAGACCAGGCGCGAGCCCTCGCCAAGGAGCACAAGCGGCGGCGACGCTGGGAGACGAAGCCGAGGCCGAGGCCGGCCACGCCGGCGGCGCGCCAGAAGTCATCAACGAGCTCGAACGCACAATTCAAAACGTGATCGACACCGACTTCAACGGTAGCCCACGCACGACCGCACACAACATGCGCTCGACCGCACGCAAGCCCAATTTGTTTGGTTGATCGCGTGCGCGTGTGGTGCCAGGCGGAGCCGTGTTCGTGCGGCTGTCGACGCAGAGCCCGAAGGACGTGGGCCGTGGGTGGACCGAGCACCCGCGCGTGGTCCCGATCGTGCGGGAGGAGCTGGCTGCGACCGAGTCCGAGGGCCGCACCCTCAACGACCGCATCCGCGCCCTCTTCGCCGCCTCGCTGCGCGTGATGAAGGTCGAGTCGGGCCGCGGCGCGCTCGACCTACTGCTCAAGAGCGAGCGCATCCAGAGCAGCGTGCTCCACGCCCTGGCCAACGCAGCTGAGGCCCGGTGGGACCTGTGCGTGGTGGTGCGGGCCTGGGAGGAGTCGATGCGGCTCGACCGCGAGTTCCGCACCTTCGTGGTGCGGGATCGGGTGGTGGCGATCACCCAGTACAACGAGTACTGCCACTACCCGGCCTGGGCCGACCAGCACCAGCTCATCGCCGACAAGATCCACCACCTCTTCGTCCACCAAGGCCTCCGCGACAAAGTACTCACTCAACCCAGTGCGTCTCGTGCGCGTGTGTCTTGTCTGTGTGGTATGTGTGTGTGTGTGTGTGTGTGTGTGTGTGTGTGTGTGTGTGTGTGTGTGTGTGGTCTGTGTGTGGCTCACGTGCGTGTGTGTGGCTCACGTGCGTGTGTGCGATTAGGTGCCGCGGGCGTACCGCGAGTGGGCTTACGTGGCGGACTTTGTGCTCCTGGGCGAACCGGAGGAGAGGGCCGACCTGCGCGTGCAGCTGGTGGAGATCAACCCGTTCGGTCCGGGCACCGGCGCGTCCCTCTTCGACTGGCACACCGAGCGATGCCTCCTCCAGGCCGGCCACGACCTCTGGGGCGACCTGGACTCTGCGGCGGCGGCGCAGCCTTCGGACATCGACGCGTGGACCAAGACCGTGGCGTGCCGCGTGGGCGACGGCGACGATGAGCAGACTGTGGTGGTGCGGATGGCGACGCGCCCCAACCCTCGCGTCGACTCCTCGTTTCTGTCGTCGTTCGGTATCGATATCTTGGTGCCCGCTCTCGACGATGACGATGAAGAGGACGACGACGACGAAGATGAAGATGACGACGACGACGAGGAGGAAGAAGACGAAAATCAAGAGGCGATCGACGAGTTCGTGGACGAGTTCGTGGCGGAGGCGAACCTGCGCCCGGTGGTGCGGGAGCACTGCGCGGGCCGGTTCGTCCGGAGGCGTACGCCCGAGTTCGTGGCG